ACTCACACACACATCCACACACTAATGGAGCCTATTATTGGGCAGCTGAACTGATATAAATGAATGAATAAATGTTGAATTGTATTTATAAATTATTTATAGATTGAATTAGTAGCATATGCTTTACGGATTGAAACACAAGTTACAGAGTTCAATAAATGAGCTACTTTTAGGCTTACCAGAGATAGACGGACGGACAGTCGGACAGATGGACGGACAGACGGACTGACAGTTGGATGGACAGTCGACTGCACTGTCGGACAGACAGTCGGACGATTAGAGAGTCAGATAAACTGGCACTCGGTCAGTCGGTCACTCGGATAGCCAGTCGGCTGGACAAAGTCAGATTAACTTACAATCGGATAGTCGACAGTCGGACATTGTCAGGTACAGAGAGTCGGATAGACTGGCAGTCGGGCAGTCGGCAGACGAAAAGAGAGTGGAATGGACATTCGGACAAACAGTCGCTTTGGCTGTCGAAGTGACAGTCGGACAGACTGGCGGCTAGACAAACGAATGTCAGAAGTCTGATGCGTGTCAGTCGTTGATCGTGTTCAGCAATATATATAATCTATATGGGTTCCTCCATGACTTCATACCCTCCAAGTTTCTCCATGCTCAATGGGTAAAAGACAGATTAAGTGGAAAGTATTTATATTCACCTTCTTGGCTTGGATTAGCCCAGTTAAAGTTGTTTAGGAAGTTTAAGTTGAGCTTGGCTAAGTCAGCTTAGCTTTATCCAAATCGTTTAGACTACGAGTTCAGGAGAGACCCATTTCACAATTAGGCTTAAGGCTTGAACCAGAGATTCAACTTTGCTAAGCAGGCACAAGCTGCCTTCTGTCTCACTCTCGCTCTCTTTCTCTGCATCTGTTTATCTCTGTATGGGGGATTGCGAGAATTGTTCACAGGATTAAAAAGCCGAGTTGAAGGCAATGCAAAGTCGTTGCAATCAACGGATTAATGTGATTTGTGTTAGTCAACAGGCAACAGCCATGTCTAGTGCTTAACCAAGAGAGCAAAAGCTGCCAGGGATTAGGCGACCACATCAAGGATAGAAGCAACAGTCGCTTCTCTCTCGCTTTCTCCTGTCTCTCTGCTGGGCCTACTTTGCGCCGGTTTTTATTTTAGCCTTTTGCCATTCGTTTTTGTTGTTGTTGACAACGTTGGCAACATGGTTAAGCCCCGGCCCATATACCCTGTTCCTGCCGCTGCGCCTGTCCTTGCCCCAGCTCCTCAGCTGGCGGCTCGTTTTTGTTGTTAATTGCAATTATGATAATGAATCTTACAAAAGACTAATTAGTATGTTAAAAATGTTGGCGAGCACAAAAGCTGCGGATTTATACATTTACCTGTCGTCCCACTCATATATGCGCACGTGTGTGTGTGTGCATGTAGTTTTGAGAGCTCTACTCTTGTGTGTGTGTGGGTGGGTGTGTGTCTTGTTGAATGGGCCACAAGCACAAAGGCAAAGGCAAAGGCAACAATAGATGGAAAGGGGGTAAAGCGAGAGTCCTTTCAACTTGGATGTTATTTAATGTGTTGCAAGCCAATTTTAATGCCTCTCCATCAATGTCTCTGTGTGTGTGTGTGTGGGACCACGCCGACATAAAGTAACTCTAAAAACTTTGGTATTTTAAAGGCAAAACAAAGGTTATCAAAAATGGCAGCAATAAATTCTAAGAACTTGCAACTAGTTGACAAATTAAGTTAGAAACAAATTTCAAAAGCCTTACCTAAGACTGCTAAGTTGATTAAAAAGTTGAACAAGCGTGATCGATATTTATCGAAAATAGCTATATCCACACAGACTAAATAGAGACAGAACAAAGCAAAGGAACTTGACGAGGACTACCTAAACATATATATGAGAAATAGAAAACACTTTTATCGATAGCTATCGATATCATAGGTAAGGTAATTAAATAAATTTTACTTGAATTTGGCAGTTTGTAATTTTAACGCTTGCTTGAGAGCAAGCGAGACAGCAAGTATGAGTTATCGATACTTATCGAAATTAATCGTAAAAAAGCTTTGTAATATATAATATTGCAAATGTATAAAATAGCTTATAAGCGAGTTCAGGAAGTTACTTAAGCACGCTTGACTAATGCTGTAAAAAAGGCCAAGGTAATCGACAATTATTGAATTCAGTTAATTTATCGATCATGATTTTCGCTGACTTATGTTTTATCGAGCTTCATTCGTGTATAGCTTAGACGCTTACTAGCTGCTTTAAAGCCAAATGAAATTATTGATTTAATATATTAATGCTTCATGCAGATTGCTTAATTATTGTTAAATTAATTGAATAAAACGCGCCAATTAAGATAATTGATAATGGGCGCGAAAGAGATGGCAACACGTATGGCCATTTAAATTGTTATCGATATGTGTGTGTGCACGTGTGTGTGTATTGCTGTAATGCTTATGACATTTTATATTCAATTGTTGCGGTTTGTTTATTGTAATTGAAATGCGTTTATTTGCTTTAATTTTCATTTTGAACTAAAGCGCCACTAGCGGCAATTATTGGCACTAATCTGTGCAAGGTTAGCCCATTAGGTACAGCCCACAGCGCCCTTTTTTGTGCTCTGTATCTCGCTCACGCAGAGACAGACAATCTGGTTGCATATTTTATGCCCTGCGTCTGTTTTGCATTTGAAATCTGTTGACTCTTTAATCGATTTAGCAGCGTCGACTGCTGCAGGCGACACATGAATTAGCCTGACAATGGAGGCATCGATAACAGCAGCACAAATACACGCTACCCTCTCCTCCTCACCCACCCAGTCGCCTCACTCATTCACTCACTCACAACACCCATTGCGCCAGCAAGTATATTGGATTTAACACAAACTTTTTATTTCCATTTTTCTTTTTCTTTCCAAGTTGTAGATTTTCATTTTCGATTTGTGCTCGTACTCGCTCGCACGCCCACAAATTGCCGGCATTTGCATACGCACACAGACACACCCACACATAAACATTTAAAGAGCCTCTCTCTACTTTCGAGCTATGGCTTTCTTGTATGTATGTGTGTGCGCGTGCAGCTCAGCGAACGTTGCCTGTGCGCGACAACTATTCGAGAGCGCAATCTATAAATAGCTTTAATATTAACTAAACGCCATTAACACGCCACTGTTGCGCAGCTGTTGTGTAGCTGTTGTGCACTTATATTCGCTGCCCGTAAGCTGCGTTACTATTGGAATTGCTACTTGCTTTAACCGTTAAGCTGCGAGGAATAGCTTGCGTGCATTGCGCCACAGTTACGCAGCTTTTGGCTAACTGTTTTACAATTAAAGAAATAAAAATTTGCCGTTCAATTGGTCTCTGTTATGTTCCACTACTACACAATTAAAGGGAAAACAAAGGCCTTAAATTTGTACATTCATTGGAATGCTGCTTTAACCTGTGATGTCTGCTTACTGTCCTTTTCTTTTTTTTTTTGAGTCTAAGTCGCATTAAACTCGCACAAGTTGCAACATTTAGCATATTAAACGGGCACTGAAGTCGAACTGGCCAACAAATCCGGCGCAGCTACAACTATAGCTTCAGTTCCAGTTCCACTTTGTGTGTCTCTGTCTGTGTCTCGTCGCGCAGCCATGCACTCGCCTTACCCGGATGCATACGTGTGCGTGTGTGCGTGTGTGTGCGTCTGTGGTTGTGTTTGTAGACATGCGGATGTTGTGCGATGCTGTTTATGCCTTTTACATTTTCCGCCATAATGAATTCTATGTTGCAGCCATAGCAGCAGCTCAGGCAGCGGCAACGGCGGCGGCAGCGGCATTGCACTGTGAAATTTCTAACTTCCGCTTTTTGCAAAGTTGACAACATGTCTGACCAGCTGCACAGTCCATGCACTCAGCCCTCTCTCCTCTGCTTGCTCTCCTTCTCTCCACTCTCGCTCTGTCTCTCCAAAAGCTGTCTGTTGCTTCCAGCCAAGCTCCACATATGTGAGAGTTGTGTCCATGAACTGGTTCCTTGTGAACGCGTTTTTTTTATAGTTTCCTTGAAATGCTTAACCCTTGACATACCCTAGATTCCACGGGCCTATGCGCTCATACACCTAACGGAACTAGCTCTTTAGCCAAATATTAAACTAAAATCAAACAAAAATTCGCAGCTTTCTTGAGCATATCTTTTGAGTTCCTCAAATTTGAGCCAAAAGAAATAAAGCGAAATACTTAGATTAGTGCCAGGCATATACCCCACTCAGTTCACTTACCCAATATAGGGTATTTCAACTTTTGCGCCTAATTGTTGGCGCTAGCCTCTTTTTTTGTACCGCTATCTGCTATGTCCTGGCAAATGCCAGACACTTAAGCGCATTACGACGGACTTTTGAGGGCATTCCGGCTATGGAATTGCTCCGGACAACCAGAAAAATGTTAAAGCCAAGCAAAATTAAATAAGGAAATTAATTATTTAAAAAAGACGTCACTAAAACCTGTGATTTTGCAAAGGAATTGAAGGTTGGAACTATATTTATAACAAAAACAGTGTGAACAGACTTGTTCAAAACAGGAAATATTGAAGCTTTCGCTTGGGAACAACTACCATAGTGTGACCAGACTACCGCAATATAAATAAGAGTGCTTTACTCGGCAGTGTCTGATTAGGATATATCCCGATAGCTACGCATAGCTGCCCTTTCCGATCATAAATTGCGATCAATAGAACTCCCGAACAGATGAGCATGGTCAGATAGCCTCAGCTCCTCAATCTGATAAAGAATATATAAACTCGATGGGGTCTGCGACGCCTCATTCTGCCTTTAGTGAGTTTAACTAGGATTGACAAGAAAACGGTGTGACCAGACTGAAAGTGTCCACCTCTCGCCTCGCCAACATGAGAGCTCTCAAACTTACATTGTAATTTCCAACTGGTTCAGGCCGAAACGCTGTGAAGTGCTTGACGGCAAATGCCTGGCTTCACTTGCTTGGCCTTTGCCTCAGATGGTGGTTGGCCTACTTCTTTTTCCGACAAAAATCAAAAAATAAAAAACCCAAAAAAAAAAATACTCAATACCAACTAAGCTTACGAGCCTCAATCCAAAAAAAATAAATATCATCTGTTGTCAATCTTTTCGTACCTAAATCGAAATTACGCCCAGTGATCCGTTCGTGTCTAGTTCGTGTACTATTCAAATCACTTTGGCCTTGAATTTCCTAATCGATTAAATTTAAAGTTTAAAGCGAGAGATTTTGTGGGTCTCCAGCGAGACTCACCCAACATTACAAGTACCACTAGCTAATCAAATACATACCTATATATATATATATATATATGCATATATGTAGAAATATATATATATATATAGATATATATACGTACACATATATATTCCTATATATAAGCATATATATATATATCTTTCTATATATAAATGTGTGTATATGTATATATATACGTTTATATCTATATATCGAGAATTGTGAATCGTGCAAGTGTCCATCATCTAGCGACCGCCCAGGAAAACTGAACGGAAGAGGAGTCTCTACGCTGTTTGAGGAAACCAATTCCGATAAATTGATGGAGTTTGCATTTCTGTAGTATCAAGCCCCATCCCAAAATCCCTTCCTACAACCAACCCCTCGTCCCCACTCCGCCACTATTTTTTTGTTCTTTTTTTACACGTAACTAATCAAAATTTTAAGTTGATTTGCGACCAAAAGTTTTTGTTTATTTTTTGTTTCCTTTCCCCATTTTAAACTAGCATCAACAACAAAACTTTAAAGAGGTAAGTTCCAGTTGCATATAAACGTATATATATATTTTCCGATTGATTTTTGTAGGGCTTACGGCAAAGGCAAACAGAAATATTGAAATAAATTTGAATGCAAATTTCTGCAAAGATTAAATCGCGCCGTCGTCTGCACTGCCCAGACGTTTGCGCCGAACCCCTTTTGCCAGAAACTTGGTGCCCGCCCTGGCCCTGACCCGCTCTGCTCGACTGTTGCCTTTTGGCTTATTGTTGCGGCTGCCTTCGAGCTCGCTGGGCCGGCAAAAATAATGCGTATCCGTTGCGGATACAGAGAGCAATTCTCCGTGTTTACCTCCTACTCGGTCAGAGTTCTTACCCTGCTCTCCCGCCAACCCCTTCTCGAAGTACCCCACTCGTTGCTCTTTGTAGCCAGCTCTGTAAGTCTTCCCTCTCGCAGTCCCCACACTGCGAGTAGTGCCCACATGCCACATAGCGTCGCTTACAGGTCCTTTGCTTACAGAATCCCTTCGCTGCTCGGAATTTCTCCTTGTGTTTTCCTTTCAGAGTGCCCAGCACCTGCCCGAGTCCTTTGCGCGTCCCTACCTCTCTTAATTTGTTTATTTGTTCGCTTTCACCTTTAAACAATTCCATTTACACGCGGCGACAAATTTCTGTTTTTATGAGTTTGGACTTCGCTTCGTTTGCCACCTTTACGCATTCGCTTTATGGCCTGCTCCACAATAACAATAAATAAGTTAATTTTAATGCAATAAACACAATTGAAGCGTGGACAGCTGCCGCTGCTGCAGTCGCTCGCTACAGCCAGCCTTAACTATTTGCCATATCTCAAGAAGCTCGTTTCAATTTTGAGCTGAAAACTTTTACCAACCTAAGGATTTGCCTTGGCGAACTTTCCTACAACTAGAATTAATTTGTATAAAAATATAAATGTTTGTTTATTGCGTATATTTGTTATATATCTAAACCGATTTTCCATATCTTTGCAGAAATAAGCATTGTTAAGGTTTACCAAGCGGAACACCCCATCTTCCGTCCTTCTTACCTCCTTTTGTTTTTCCTTGGTTCAATATCCTTCCTTCCGTCCCTTTGTTCTTCCGCTCTTCATAGTTTACCAGCTTCTTTTTCCTTCCCTCTCTTTTTTTTTGGCTATTTATGAATCTCTGTCTATCTCTATCTCGCCCTCACTCTATCGCTCATACCAATTCTCTCTCTTTCTCTCATATTAATTAATTCTCTCTATCTCTTTCACACTTGTTTTTTCTATCTCCCTCTCTATTTATCGATCAATCTCCATAGTACGAATTCTCTCTCTTTATATATCTATTATACTACTTCTATCTTTTCTCTTCCTCTCTCTCTCTATTTCTAATACTACTTTTCTTTTTCTCTTTATATATCTCTTATACTACTTTTCTCTCTCTCATTCTCTTTCTCTCTCTCTGCTTCTCTCTCTCTTTCTTTCTCTCCACCTATTTTTTTCTCTCTCTCTCTCCTCTCTTTGTCGTACCAAATTCTTTCTCCTATCTTATTTTAATTATATATCTATTTCACTCTCTCTCTATCTCTCTCTCTTTCTTTCTTCCCCCGCTTGCAGTCATGAACAATGAATATTCTTATTTGACCGACATGCAGCAAAATTGTAAACTGTATGGCATGGTTGAGATCGACAAGCTGAGAGCCGTGTGGAAGGCGCGAAAGTTTGCCATCCAGGTGCCCGACTCAATAGTGCAGAGCGGGCTGCTGCCCTCGATCTTTGATTGGTCGCTCTTGGGGCAGCTGATGCCGGCGGAGCAAACGAATGGAGAATTGCTGCTGCAACAGCGTATCAACGATTTGGAGCTGTTGAACAGTCTGACGACGTCGCTGCAGCGCATCCAAATCCTTCCAGAAATGGGATTGGATGTGGATGTGATCATGGGCAGGCCCAGCTACAATGTGCTTGTCCAGGACGATGGCAGCATATTAGTCAAGGAGCTGCCCAGCCTGCACATCCATGTGTATGCGGCCGAGACGCGAGCTGCCGCCGGCCAGGACTGTGACATGCTGAACGAGGTGAACACCATGGCCATTGAGCAACGGAAGCAATTGGCCACACTGATCAGCCAGAAGAGCTCAGTCTTCACAAAGACCGAAACCTTGGCCGATGAAACGAAGCATGACGAGCCCGAAGATCAGCAGGACGAGCGCACGGAATTGGCCCACGATCCCAACGAGGAGCTGGGAGAGTTTGAGGAGTTTCTTGAGCGCACCTGCACCTTGTCCAGCAATCGCAGCAAGCTCGAGCAGCAACTCGGCCAGCAAAAGCAACAGCAGTCTCCGACTGAACAGCAGCATGAGCAGCCGGAGTTGAAGGAACAGGAACAGGATCAGATGGTGCCGCCGCCCACAGAGTCGCCTGTTCCTCAAATCGATGCGGCCGTCGTCGTCGAGACCCGGCTGCGACGCCGTCAACCGTTTTGGATACGTTTTGGTAATTGGCTGCGCCAGAGCCTGCCACGCCTCAACCAATAGAGATCAAAGATCAAAGTGACCAAATCAAATGAGAAATGCCGCAAACTGTCTGTGATATCTGAAACGTCCATGGATTGTGCCTAGTCGCAGCGAATCCTAAGCCCTACGATGCTAAAACTCTTGTTCAATGCATAAAGCCACAAATAAATTTAATAAATGAAATAAAATAGGAACGAATTTCAAGTTATTGCGCCTTAAAGCGGACGCTTGGCAAATCGCTTGGAAAAATGCGGAATGCGGAATGCGTAACCGAGGCAAGAAAACCACTTGACGGAAATTGCGCAAACAGAAGACGCGTTTTGGCTACGCAAACTTCATTACGCTCAACTGCATCCTTAACCTTAACGGCAGTCAAAGCGAAACCTCCTTTCATTCAGAGCCAGAGACAAGCTCTGCCTCTGCCCGCACTCTTTTTTCTCTCTCTCTCTCTTTCTCTTGCTCTATCTCTCTCCCACCTGCCTCGCTTTGCATCCTTCTTCGTCTCTGCTCTCAGTTAGTCTACTTAGTTACAGGGTACACACAGTTCCTTGTTGTATATGCGCTGCATGCAAATCTAGCTTACAATTCTCAACTAGTTTAAGCTGCACTTTCAAGGCTTGTTTGCATTAGAGCTAGAAAACTTTGACCACCCAATGAACAGCTGAAAGTTTTATTTGCACAGTTTGACTTGACAGTTGCTCCAGAAAAACTCTATTAAATTATTATCTATTAAATGGTTCTGTTCGTCAAGCTAAGAGCTACGCAATTAGGCCAAATTGATGCATTTGCAGAAAAAATGTATTTATGGATTAGCGGAGTCATTGTCCAATTGTCTTATGAGATGATTGCGAAAACAGGTGTTCCAGATGGCCAAAATCATATTCAGACATTAATGCCATAAAGTATTCTAACCAATAAAACCTGCTTTCTAGATATTACAAATAAATTTCATTTTTATTTTACGAGTCAAACTTGTGTAACTCTAAAAAGCTGCTTCAACTTAAAACAATTTTGTGTTGCTCTACTCTGGGCTATGAGCTCTATAGGAAAAGTTATAGAACTGCTTTGTTATATCAAAAATGTTGTCTTGTTTGTAAGAAAGTTTAATGACTTCATAGATGCCTTTGCATGAATGCGAAACTAGCTAAAACAGTGTTGTAAAGTGTGCCAAAAGATTTTGGAGTAAAAATTATGAAGCTCATGTAGGATAAATACTTTTAATAGCAAATCTTTTCACAATGGTTTAAGCAAGCAGCTTTTGGAAGCTGGAAAATTTGATATTTAAAATTTAACTCAAAGAGAAATTTTGAAAATTTTCCATCTTATTTTAAGGCCTAATACTTTTTAGGTTTAAATATTTATTTTGTAATCAAAGCAAACTACTTCTTAGGCATTTAGGGTAGCTTGTTAGATAACACTTCAAATTATCTTTAGGATAAATATCTTTAAGCAATTTACCTAAGGAACTGCTTTGCTATAAGTCCTTAAAGATATGCTATATATACTATACTATAATTCAGTTATATCACAGATACTGCTCAAGCTCAAATTGACTCGAGTGCGAAGTCTTGCAGCTAGCTGTTATAAGCAACTTTCAAAGGCTTTTTTAGCTGTTGAGCTAATAGGGTTAGCATATAAACAGCAATGTTTATGTGTTTTTTTAAAGCTGATTATCTATAGCATTTAATATTCAAGCCTTTCTTTTACTCTCTGTCTCACCCTGTTTCTCGTTCCCTCTGCCTCTCTCTCCGGCATCGACTTTCACCCGGCTTAAAAAGTGAGCCATGAGACGGACTGTTCGGCATGCAAAATGTGCATAAGATAAATGGAGCACAAAGCGCTTTGAGGCAACATTAAAAGCTCGCTACCCGGGGAGTGCTGCTGCTGCCTTGCCCGTCTCCTGCTGTGGCGCCATCTAGCGATGGGCATGAAAAGTCATTCACTAATGGGATGACGGTTGAATGCCTCGACTCATGTGGAGCAAATGCTATAGATAGCTGTGAGGGTAGAGAGAGGTGGGGAGGGGAAGGGGGTGGTTTGATGCCGGTTTGGCTAGGGAGTTAAAGGGTGGGGGGTATCGAAGTGGGTGGAGTGCGATGACATGGTCTAGCCATATCCATTTGTATTTGCACTTCTTCTATTGGCAACATGTGGCGCCATTTATTAAAAATTCATTTGCTTACACACACACCCACACACACATACACACACACACTCATATGGGAAGGCTGTTGCAGACAGAGCTTAGACGCAAAAAAAAGGGGCGTGACTGGCTGTGGCATTGACAACAGCTCAGTAGATTTTTTTTTTGGCCTTTGGCAGTTGACTACATGCCACGCCCCCTTGCCTACTCTCGCCACTGTGCGCCGCGCCTGCTGACCTTCAGCAGCTGCTGCAACTGCCACGCCCAATTGCCCTCTCCTACTGTGTACTTTGCTTAGGCTCTTTGTTAACTCTTTTGACCCGCTTTCGCATAAATCTATTGATGGATCGCGTTGATGCAAAACGAATTGGACCAACAAAGCAGCTGCAGTTGGCCAAGCAAACAAGGGTCAGATATCGTCAAATAATAGCTGAGAGTTAAGCCCAAGAATACATATAGAGAATATATTTATGTATAGGGAATAATCTACTAATTGCTTTAAGAGACTTTTGCAGGCTTAGTCTGTGCTAGCTCTAGAAATCTTAAACACTTTTATTCATGTGGCTTAGTTGACTTGAAGGCCGAAATGCATGAGACATGCTCAGCAAAATTAAAGTTTCTTTTTTAAATCTGATGTAACAGCTAGCTCGGGCTCTTCACCAATTAGCTTAAAAGGTCATCTAGATAGAGCCTCAAGCAGTTGTTCAATCAAATATCTGTTTGAAGTTAGAATAACTAAGTGAGGACTTCAATCAATCAGTCAGTCAATCAATCAACTAAATAATCAATTCATTTATAATACAGCAATAAGTAAGACAACGAGTAAGTCAGTCAGTCAATCAACTAGCTGACAGTCAGATTGAGAGCTAAATCAGCTCAATCAATCCAGCAGCTAAACAATCAATCAATCAAAAGTGACTCAATTAGTGGGAATTATTCACAAGTCAGTCATAAAGTTCATCAAACAAATACTAAAATAGTCAGTCAATCAGTGTGAAGTAATCAATCAATCAATCAATCAATCAGCCATCCAAGCAGCCAGTCAATCAATTAGCAATTATAGCTCACAAATATATTTTGACAATCAGTCAATCAGATTGACAGCTAGTTAGTCAAACAGTCAATCAATCAGTCAATCAAGCTATGAATACATTTAGCTAAATTTATTCATACGAATGCCACACAAAAGTCGAAAATACATATCTCTAGGTCATTTGTGGGAAGGTATTCAATGGGCATTCAAATCTGGGACGGACGGATGGATGTTGGGCGTGGCGGGCACGTGGTGCTGCGGGAGTTGCCAACAAATAAGAGTGCAAATATTTTCCATGTTGGTCAAGTCGAGTGAATGTGTCCAGTGTCCCTGGCACAAAATGCCAAATGAAGTGGAAGCAAAGAATTTCACACAATGTGAACTCTGACCCCCGCCACGGCCACACACACAGACACACACGTGATTGTTGTATGTTGGAGAGTGGGCGAATAAGCCAACAAATAAACAAACAAACAAACAATGCGAAACGAAACGAACAGCAGCAAAATACAAATAAGCCAACATATAAAAGCAAAAGGGCAACAGGTGGGTTGGCGGGCCGGCCAGGTGTGGGCGCTGCTGTGGGCGGCCGCTCCGCTTTTGGGTAGACAAATTTTAACTCGAAAATCACATAAGCCAAGTTACCCCTAGACCCGCTCGTTAGAGCCATTGTATTCCATTGTAGGACAAGATATGCTTCCTTCGCTCTCCTGCGCAGTGGCTCGCCTGCCCCGCTGGGAGGCCGGCACCTGATAATACCCTAAAGTCAGCTGTGACGCCTCCCCTCCCCGCCCTCGCCACGTCCCACATATCCTGTTTGACAAACCTACTTCATTATTACGCTCGATTGTGTGCGACTTGTCGTTGCTGTTGTTGTTGGCGGTCAGCATAAAAATGCAAACGGACAGCGAGTTGAGTGGTGAGTGGGGAGTGCACGACGCACAGATACCCTATAGGCAGCAGCAACAAGTGAAGTCTTAATTGGCGTTGGGGGGAAAGGCTTCGTTGAAAGGCATTCATAGTTCGTTTTAGTTAGTTGATGTCTCGCAAAGTGACTCTCCAAATGTGATGCACAAATGGTGACTGTTAAACTGTCACTGAACTGTAACAGCCAATATAATGATCTCGAAATGTGACTGTGACTGTCAAACCGTGACTGTCGAACTGTGACTATCAATCTGTGACTATCAAAATATGACTGTCAAACTGTGATTGCCAAACTATGACTGCTAAACTGTGACTGCCAAACTGTGACTGCCAAACTGTGACTACCAAACTGTGACTGTAAAATTGTGACTGCCAAATTGTGACTGCCAAACTATGACTGTCAAACTGTGACTGTAAAATTGTGACTGCCAAAAAGTGACTGCCAAAATGTGATGCAAAGCTGTGACTGCCAAACTGTGATTCCTAAACTGTGACTGCCAAACTGTAACTACCAAACTGTGATTGCTAAACTTTGACTGCCAAGTTGTGACTGCTAAACGGTGACTTTCAAACTTTAACTCTCAAACTGAGTCTCTCAAATTGTGACTGTAAAGCTTTGAATCAAGCTTTGTATCCTTAGTATTGCCTTTTAGTTTAGATTTTGTTTGTTATATTCCATGCTTTAGGCTCTCAAACTATAAACGTATTGTCACTGGCTCTAAAACGGCAAAGAAGGACTCTCACGCGAGGAATCTCAAACTGGGCCCCTTTAACTGGGACTCTCGAGCTTCAACTCTTAAACTGGAATTCTCAGACTCTAAATGAAAATATAGAAAATCGAAATATTTGATGAAACGAAAGGAACACAATGCGGAAGACAAGTTAAGGTATATGAAATGCCGAATATACCCTGCAATCGCTCAGCAAACAGGGCATTGACACACAGACACACACAGGTAGTTGGGCAACCAGCGAATGTGCTGTGGAATGGAATGGGCCAAGCATTTCATTTGTTGTCCTTCGCATTCTCTTTTCACACTTTGCGCAGCGAAAACAAAGCGAATGCCCCAAAAGCCAGAGCCAAGAAGTCC